ATTTCACATATTTTGGACATGGTTTAAGGATCGACGGGAGGCAGCTCAAAACCAGAAGCAACTCCACTGGAGAACAACTGGGCTTTCTCCTCGCGCACAGAACTAACAGTCTCAGAGGCCCACGGGCGTCGCTATGAATCAGTATTGACTCATGGCGGTAACTCAGGAGAGACTAGTCCCTGGAGAAGGTCATCATGCTTAGTATAGCAGAAGGCAGCAAAAAAAAAGGAAGGCCCTTGACCAGTTGAATGGACTCAATGCCTGTAACAATGGGCTCAAACAGAAGCACACCTGTGAGGACGGTGGAGACTGGGCAGTACTTCATTCTGTTGTTCACAGGGTCACTTTGAGTAGATGCTGACTCAACGACATCTAATAACAACTGAGTCCTAGAGGGCTTCCTGGTTGCGGACGTCTGCTCTTGGGATAGTACTGCATCCTTGGGGATGTTCAGGCTCCGTATTGGACCCTCTCACATCTTACCCTAGGCATCTCTTCATTTGTATCCTGGGGGTCCTACTCAACCTGGAGTTAGAGGGATGGTACTCTCCATGAGTTCTGGGAGACATTCCCACACATTGTCAAAACCAAAGGGGCAGTAGGAGCCAGCAGGTCAGAACGTTGGGATGTCATATGGACTCCCCAACCTTGTGGCTGGTATCTGCCTAGGTGGAGGTCTGAAGGAGTTACCTGTTAGACTTGTGAGCTCCCACCCAGCTCCAGGTGGCTGAGGTTGAGAGCGCATGCCTTAGGAGGGGCTGGCAGCGCATAGAGCAGTGGGAACGTGAGGACTGGATCATTCTCATGGTTAGCGGATTAGAGTCATACCGGTCCTTGCCCACATCCATGAAGGGGTGTTGATGCTATTTCCTACTCATCTTTTTACTATCTCTACACATCTGATTTTTAAATAAAATCTACCACTGCTATGTGCGATGCAAATGGCGAATGCAGTTGGCTGTTAACCAATAGGTTGGAAGTGTAAGTGCATCAAAGTTTCCGTGGAGGAACGACACTAGCTAGTGATGGATTTCTGAAAAAACCATCCATTGGGAGCCCTATGGAATGCAGCCTTCCTTTCACACCCATGGAGTTGCCACGAGTTGACTCAATGGTAATTTAAAAAATAGAATGTATAAATACACACACATTTATTCAGTAGCCTTATTCTTCTACTTGGTAGCAAGCCAATGAGCTCCTAAGGCCCATTTTGACTTTAATACTTTCAGTGTAAGATTCTATGTGTCATTAATTCTATGTCTTAATCTAATAACCACATGGGATAAAGTAATAAGAAAGTAGTTTGTGTACTCTGAAGGATGTCCTTCTTTACAAAAGTCGAAGGTTATTCTTAAGAGACGTATTCTCACTTGATTCTAAATCTAGTACAGGTTAGCACTTCAACATGGGAAAGACCGAGAGCAAATATCGAGGAGATGATCGTGACTCCTCATCTCCCCGCTCAGTCATCTTGAAGTAGTTTGGAATGAAAGCTGGACCTGTCACGACATTGGTGACTTAGTGAATGATTACACATTTTAGGCATCCCATGTACTAGGGAATGAGACATGGCATGGCTTTGCTATGATGACCTTCTTCCAGAATGCGATTCTCTATTCAATAAGATAGCGGGCTTCCAACCGACTATTGGGTTTGATACAGGAGGCTGGGAGAGGAGCTACTGGGGGCGCGGGGTGGGGGTGGGGGGGTGGGGGGGTAGGGGACAGGCGGGAAGTAGCTGGAAGTGCAGCTCATTCTGGGGGACTGAGGTTAGGGCTTGGCGCCTCTCAGGTCCCAGGTTGAATTCTTGTGGGGACCACTTGATCTCACTCTTGTTGCACGGCTCTAGAACACCTCCCCATGCCGATCTAGAACATACTGCAAGAAACCAGAGGAGTTCCATGAAAGGGTGGATTCTGAGAAGTTCTTCACTGAGCATCACAGCCCGCCCAGAGGGTACTCCAGTCCACGATGAGCACGCCCGAGTTGCCTTCTCTGTGTGCAGATCCCAGGGGGTCCATCATTCAAATTCTTGTCAGCAGAGGACCCCAGATAAGTCACCAGGAAGAATGCTCATTTACAGACACGAGCATTTCTGTAACTCCACGGAACGGAGACTTTATTTTTTTCTTTTCAATGTCTACTGATGACTAGGTACGAAATTCTTTCTAACCATAAATCTTCTGTTTCAAAAATTCAAAAGGGTCAAAGAGTTGAGTTGTGAGAGGGATCTCTCCCAGGCCTTTCCCCACTTTCCTTCCTGGAGGCACCCAATGCTGTCAGCTGTTTTTTATGCTTTTTTAAAAAAACCTCTCCAGAGATATAGAAGCAAAGGAAGTTCTATGT